AGAAAATAATATCAAACTGAATGGATGTACTCAGTCAGTTATTCCAGTTGTTTTTAAATGGTATTGAAAGTTTGTACTTTAAAGGCAAACTCTTATCTAACTTTGAAAGGGAAGAAGAAGTGCCTCAGAAGAGTTGCAGTATGAGCATAAACCAGCATTGCCAATTATTTGTTCCTGCCTCTTCTGGAGCAGGATAGAGCTGCCCTCTTTCTAGTTTATGTTCTCATATCTTCAGTAGCTCAAGTAGCACAGATCCACACTTGGCACTAAAATTTTGCAATCCCTTCCTCAAAATGCTCTTCAGGACTGTATCTTTAAACAGGACAGAAACAGGACAAAGCTCAAGTACAAAAGGGGAAAAAAAAAAAAGGAAAGCACCTGAAGTTGATTACTCTTAAAAGTGAAGGACATCTCTTGGCTTAATATTTTTGTATGATCAGGAGTGAAACATTAGGGATGAACAAGAAAGGTAGCATTCTTTATCATTCTCTTCATCTGAATCTAAATTCAGCTGGTAAGACATACCAGTTCAGGGCTCTGTATGCCCTGGCACCTGGTACAGGAAGTCTGTCCCAACAACAGTTATGCAGTCAAATGCAATGTCTTTTTGATTCTTAAAAGACTCTAAGAAGAACTTTAAACTCTACCCAGAAATCAACAGGCAGGTCCTGGAGCTGCAGTGCCAAAAGCATTGCAGAGATGCCCTTCTGTCAAGTAAGCCCTTACCGTGTTTCCGGTATCAAATTAAAAATTAATTTTTTTAAAGTGTAGTAGAAAAGGGCCAAGTTAAAAAAAGAGGTTAGTCAGTCAAAAAGCTGCCTGAATTACTTCTGAAACATGCTCTCCAGATGGCTGGGATAATTTTGACTGTTAAGGTTTTCATTTGACTAGAGATCCAACAGCAGGCTCACTGTCTTCAAGGACTAATATTGCCTCTGGCTGCTTCTCAATACCAACCAGCAACCCAAATTTTTCTGGGCTAAACTTTAATCTGTCAAGTATGAGCTTGGCACCATCTGGGACACCATCAGCTAAAGGGGCAGGCAAGTCCCACTGTCCTCACTTCCTGCAAACTGAAAGAAAACTATTGAGTTCTTCAACATCCCAAAAGCGACCACAAAACCTCTGAGATCTGGGACTCTGTTACAGCAAATACCTAATGGATTTCCAGTCCTGTGTCACAAAGAATCTCCTGGTAAGATGGCATTTCACTCACAAGCCAATAAAATGGGAGAAAATAGATGCAAACTGGGGACTTACTGTTTTCTAAGGATGTCAGGACATTTGCAATTGCTTCTCAACCTATATCAAGGGAACTAGGCCAAACCCTGTATCCACTGTATTTGCAGTTATTGACATTGCAAAAACAACCAAAAGATCTGGGTTTGGCTTGGCAATATTTTCTATTCCCTCCATGGCATTCCTTCAACTGTTTTATGCTATTCTCTGATCCTGTTAAAAGCCACCTTGCCAGAAACCTGCCAGTTTCCCATATGAATGCACTTGTCGCCCAAATGAATTGCCACCTTGCATAACTGGTTCAAAGAGCCTCCTGATAGGAGCTCAGGAAGAACAGAAAATGGGGTAAAAAGTGATGCATTATCCCTAAAATACCGCTACTTCACTTGTCAAGGATTGCAATTAGAGCTGGGCCAAGGCAATGTTAGCTCAGCTGCCTCTGAACACACCTGTTTCAATTTAATTTGCAGTAATTAGGAAGCCTAGGGCACCAGGAAAAACTGCTGTTCACTCACTGTTTCAAATAGCTGAGTTTTCATGTACCATTTAAAATGCTGTTTTTCAGAACAGACTGCTGACTTGCTAATGCTAGGAAAATGAAATACAGCAAAATATTTTTAGCAGCAGGAAGTTGTTACTTGCTACTGCCAATTACATGCCTTGTACTTGAACAGTGACATTTTTTTTCCCCTTGCTTACTCTTCAAGATAGGTAAAAGCTGGCTGAGGTCTCGGGGCATGAGGATTTGGATTAAACCTAGTCTCTGGGAGCTGGCTGATATTTCTGGAGTCATAGTCAGTACTGGCAGCAATCTTCTGTGACAGAGAACACAACAGTGTCTCAGATCCACTCCTCAAAAACGGGAAAAGGAGAGGATTAAGCAAGAGACTTGGATCTATTGGCTTTGGCAAAAAGCTGAATAGCTTGTCATGCTAAAAAAATTACTGCAATTGGGGAGTAGAAAATGGGGCAGAGGGGGGAGAAATAAAAAAAAGCATTACAATTACATAAGAATAGATATTTATACTCTGAGTTAATTTATCAAACTGACAGAGCGATGAATCATCCACCATTAAAATAAGGGGATACAAGCTTTCTTTATATCACAGTCATTATTTACAACTTTTAAATATTCATGGAGGAGTCAAGTATTCTCATCTTTTAATTTAAAATGGTCTTGCAGGCCAAAAGAAAACTCTTGGCAAAAATAAGTTTCTACAGGAACAGGGCCCAAAGAATGATTTCTTCAAAAACAGGATAGATCTTAGCAATCACGATGATACTTCTTTATTTAAAAATCTACACTGCAAACCACAGAGGGCTCAATAAACTCACACAAACCTAGACCTTCAAGTAACAAAACAATGAGAAAGGGCAATAACAAGGACCTGTGGTATAGCCAGACACAGCGAATTAGGACTTTTTAAAATATAACACAAATGTGTTTTTTTTCAGGTGACACACAGCTCTGCTTTGAGGCCGGTTCATTCCCACATGCTGAGTATCCAACTGAAGACAATACAGTTCCTCTCACTGAAATAACTTCAACAGATGCATGCATTTCTACAAGTAAAACTGTATTATTTAAATAATTGGCCTTTTGTTGCTGCAATGCCATTAGAAACAGTGATGCCA